AGCCTTGAGCTGCCACCGCGTCGCTGTTGAAGTCGCCTCGGTACGTTGAGCTCCTTCTTGGGATGAGCCTCGTGATGTTCTCGAGCAGGTTGCTCGCCTTCGTAGTGAGGTTGACCGCGGGCTTCGGGGCTGGCCTCGTGGCGACGGCCTTGGTACCGACAGCCTTCGGTCCGAACTCGCGGCCCGCGCCCTTGATGGCGAGCCAGGCCTCCGGGTGGAGGTCGATCGCGGGATGTCCCGCGCTGCTCGTGATGAGCTTCTGGGAATGGTTCCCGATGCGGATCTGCCCCCTCCAGAGCGAGATGTCGATCTTGCTCGGCTGAATGAAGTCCCGGCCGATAAGCAGGCCGAGCGTGGGGCTATCCACAATTTTGAACACTATGCGGCCAGCGCGTCCGCACAGCACGAGTGGGGCTGTGACGCGCAGCTTGCTCGGGAGCGTGCCGCCGTTCCCGAACCTGTAGACTTCGTTCTCGGGCTCCTCCAGGATCTGGTCGGCCAGACCCATCTTGGTGAGCTTCTCCTTGTACTGCTTGCACCAGCTGAGCCCGCCAACGCAGAACAGGCAGGCAGTGTCGATCACGCCGACACCGTCGTCGTTGGGCTTCTCGCCGGCGTTGGCGGCGTTCACGGTGGGCAAATCGGGCACCACGCGCTCGGAGACCAGGGTCTCGGGTGGCGGAGTGACCGGACCTTCTGGATGAAGAATCACCTCCTCGTCGCCGAACTCCACGTGGTTCTGATCGTGGACCTGCTCGGCGATGTTGGCCTGGCGGTGCGAGCGACCTCCGCCGCCTCGTCCTCCGCCCTTCTGCTTGGAATTCGGGGCGAACTTCCGAGCGCCTGGTGTCGGGCACTCCTTGTCACCGGTCCAGTGCCCCGCCTCGCCGCAGTCCCAGCACTTGGAGTTATTCTTGCGCTGGTCCACGCGGCCCTGTAGCTTGCCCGCGGGTCGGCGCTTGGGCGAAGCCTTCCCGCGGCCCTTGATGGCCTCCCGGGCCGACCGCATGGTCGCCATGGCTTCGGGAATCGCGGCGAGCTCCGCCGCGGCGGCCTCCACCTTGGCAGAGTCGCCCCTGTCGAACACCTCGCCGAGGTCGTAGTTGGACTGCTCCAGCTCGGCGCTGAAAGCCTCGAGCTCCTGGCGCGCGATGTCCTGGACGTCTGCCTCCGCGTCGTTGTCGTCGCCGTCCTCCGAGTCCTCGTGCTCGTCCTCTGGCTCGTCGGCGACGTTGGCTGAACGTGCTCGGCTTGGCGATGAGCGCTGCCAACTACTGTTTGATCGCTGCGGCCACGGTCGTGACGGCAAGCTGGCATGCCGTTCCGACGTATGGATATCAGGGAACACGCGCACCAGCAGGCCCCTGATGTGCTGAAATGAGTAATGCTCGTCCGGCAAGTTGCCTACGACGCGCTCACGGCGCTCGGCCGTGAGCCTGGCCTTGCGCAGCAGGAACCAGCCGGCCACGTCGTCAAGCGTAGTGAGGTCAACCTCGTTCTCGCGTAGTTGTTGTAGTCCCGCTTCGAATCGCACGAGCCAGTCCGTCATGCGTTCTCCACGGCGGCGATGATGCTGAGTCGACTCGAAGAACTTCTCTAGCGTCTCTCCCTTCTGTACCGGCTTCTGCTGGCCTAGGTTTGTCTCGAGATGCTTCAGCACATTCTCGATGCCGTTCTGGTTCCGATCGCGCTTCTTCTCGTTTGCCTCCTCAATGTCGGCGTCCGGCGGCGGGTGGAGTTCCTGCTCCGTCATGTTGAGGGCAGCCGATCTGGCGGTACCCGTCAACTTCAAGACTAACTTCGATGCCAGGCTTTGTGTCACTTCCAGGTTCCCGCTGAACTTCCACACTTTAACTTCTTGCTTGTAATCTCGCCACTTCGCTGGATCTCCATTCCAGCTTGGTATCACTGACTGGTTGTGATTGAACTCCGTCATTTTGTCTACGGATGAACTGCAAGGAATACCAGAATACGAAATGAAATTGAAACCAAACTCGATGCCGTAATCGATGTCGGCGCCTGCCGTGTCGATGAGCTGGTAGGGGATGTAGGCGTTGGGCTTGTCGCTGTCGCTGACGGCGCTGATGCTGAAGATGTCGGCGCGTGCCGATGTAGGGGATAGGCTGTAGGGGATCTCGGCGCTTGCCGATGTTGGAGGTAGGCTTCCGGTGAAGTCGCTGACGTCACTGGTGCTGTCGCAGACGGTGTTGAACTTGTAGAGGCAGGTGCTGGCGTCGCTGACGCTGTCGCTGAACTCGTAGGGGTAGGCGCTGGCGTCGCAGACGCTGGCGTGGGAGAAAGTGTTCGGGATGTCGGCGCTTGCCGAGGCAGAGAGCTGGCAGGGGATGTAGGTATTGGGCTCTGCGCTGTCGCTGACGGCGCTGATCACGAATGTGAAGATGAGCACTGCGCGGCGGCAGAGCTGGACGGCGCTGGCCGTCGATTCCGTGGGCAGACGAGTCGCAGACGTCGTCGTGGAATATGTAAGGCCCGAAGGCCGGGGCAGCGAGCCTCGCTCCTAGCTACCACTGTGATATGGAAGACCCGCAGGGTCGGATATCGCTGATATCGTTTGTCGAATGATCGCGCGGCGAATCAATCTGCGTAGCTCTAAGGCCAAGGGCCCTAGTATAAGTTCCGAACCAAAACAGGCAGCGGGAAGAAGGGTGAGAGCAGCAGGAGCAGGGGCAGGAAAGGCTCGGGGAATGAGCGGAAATCACACCCTTTCGGGGACCCCCACCACGTCTGACATTCTCAGCCTCCTGAGGCGTCTGGGCATAGGTTTTTTCGTACGTTTTGACAGCTCCCCACACTGCAAAATCCTCGCCGGCACGCCCTCCGGGACCCCCACCACGTCTGACATTCTCAGCCTCCTGAGGCATGTGGGCATAATTTTTCTAAAAGTTAAGAACCCCCCACACTGCAAAATCCTCGCTGGCACCTCCCCCGAGTCCCCCACCACGTCTGACATTCTCAACCTCCTGAGGCCTCTGGGCATAAATTTTTCGTAAAATTCAACAGCCCCCCACACTGCAACATCCTCGCCGGCACCCTCTCCGGGACCCCCACCACGTCTGACATTCTCTGCCTCCTGAGTCGTCTGGGCATAAGTTTTTTCATCCGCCGGCACCCCCCCGCGGGACCCCCACCACGTCTGACATTCTCAGCCTCCTGAAGCCTCTGGCCAACGTCTGACATTCTCAGTTTCCTGAGGCCTCTGGGAATAGGTTTTTTCGTAAGTTTTGAGAGCCCCCCACATTGCAAAGTCCTCGCCAGCCCCTCCCCCGAGTCCACCACCACGTCTGACATTCCCAGCCTCTTGAAGCCTCTGGGCATAAGTTTTGTTGTAAGTTTCAAGAGCCCCCCACACTGCAAAATGCTCGCCGGCACGCCCTCCGGGACCCCCACCACGTCTGACATTCTCAACCTCCTGAGGCCTCTTGGAATACATAGGTTTTCTTCGTAGGTTTTAAGAGCCCACCACACCGCAAAATTCTCGCCGGCACCCTTTCCGGGACCCCCACCACGTCTGACATTCTCAGCCTCCTGAGGCGTCTGGGGATAGGTTTTTTCGTAAGTTCCAAAAGGAGACGGGAAAACGGGGGGATCGTATTTTTCGTAAATTTTGACAGCTCCCCACACTGCAAAATCCTCGCTGGCACCTCCCCCGGGACCCCCACCACGTCTGACATTCCCAACCTCCTGAAGCCTCTGGCCATAAGTCTTTTCGTAGGTTTTAAGAGCCCCCCACTCTGCAAAATCCTCGCCGGCCCCTCCCCCGAGTCCCCCACCACGTCTGACATTCTCAGCCTCATGAGGCCTCTGGGCATAAGTATTTTTGTGTACATTTTAAGAGCCCCCCACACTGCAAAATCCTCGCCGGCACCCCCCCGGGACCCCCACCACGTCTGACATTCTCAGCCTCCTGAGGCGTCTGGGCATAAGATGTTTCATAAGTTTTAAAAGCCCCCCACACCGCAAAATCCTCGCCGGCACTCCTTCCGGGACACCTACCACGTCTGACATTCTCAGCCTCCTGACACCTCTGGGCACAAGAGCACCCCACAACGCAAAATCCTCGCCGGCACCCCCCCGGGACCCATCACCATGTCTGACATTCTCAGCCTCCTGGAGCCTCTGGGCATAGGTTTCTGGTTGTTTCTTAGGGGCACTCACTCTGCAAAATCCTCGCCGGCACCCCTCCCGGGACCCCCACCACGTCTGACAATCCCAGCCTCCTGAGGCCTCTGGGTATACATATTTGTTCGTAGGTTTGAATAGCCCCACACACTGCAAAATCCTCGCCGGCCCCTTCTCCGGGACCCCCACCACGTCTGACATTCTCAGCCTTCTGAGGCCTCCGGGGATAAGTTTTTTCCGTAAGTTCAAAAAGGAGACGGGGAGGAGGGAGGAACGAGGGAGGAGACCGAAGAAAGAGGGGCAAATGAAATCCAAAGCGCAGATTACGTGTGTACGGAGTCCTTCTGGCCACCGCGCAGCCTGCCCGAAGCCGCCTAAACACACAAAACGCTGCAGGGAACCAACCAATCTGACTCCTGGAGGCCATCGTAGATCCTTGAAAGGTTATCAATCCCACTAAGTGGGATAGCGGCCTTTAGCAATGATGTGATAATGTGCGTCTAATGTCATGCATTGCAGCAACATGTTCTTAACGCAGTAGAACATGTTGGCGTCAGGGGCAGCAGTAGTGATGAGCTGCATGGAGTGCAGGAGTGATCAATCCCACAAAGTGGGATAGCGGATGGTTGCACTGTGCGTAACCATTGTGGCTCAAGTCATAATGGGCTCAGGCTTTAGAAAAGGACTTTCGCTTCTCATGGTAGCGTGAGCACACAGCCAGAGCCCATCCCGCAGGTGAGAGTTCGACGACGTGAGTTTCGTCACTGCCAACGATTTCGAACCATTCGTAGACGAGTTCCACGAGACGACAGGTAAGGATGGAGGCACAGTTTCAGCAGGTCCTGGAACGGCTCGCCGCTATGGAGCAGGAGAACCGGCGGTTGGGCGCCGAGCTCGCCGCGTCGCGGGGCGAAGTTCAGGCAGCCCGGCAGGAAGCACTACAGGCGCGTCAAGCGGCGCAGGCACCACAGGCCATGGCAGCAGAGATAGCGCAGGCACTACGAGCAGTTCGAGAGGAGGAGCGGCGAGACCGTGGCGGAGGCCTCATCGACAGCCGGGGTCTCAACAAGCCGTCGGTGTTCAACGGCGACGAGGAGAAGTACATCCAATGGACACGCAAGACCGAGAATTTCATCGCGAGCACGTACCGTGACGCTCGCGAGATGCTGCAGTTCGCGACGGACCAGGGGCAGGAAGAGGTCACAATCGACGATATGATTGGCGACCCGCAGGATGCGCGATTCCCGAGGGATCGCTTGGAGGAGATAGATGACCAGACCTACGTGGTCCTCTCGGCGCTGACGGAAGGCGAGGCCTTTGATATTGTCACTAGCGCTGGCAGCGGCAACGGATTCGAGGCGTGGCGCAGGCTGGCGGCTCGATTTGACCCCATCACCGCGGGCCGCACCCGAGGTCTTCTACGAGATATCATGGACCCTGGCAAGGCCAAGTTGGGGGACCTTCAAGCGGCGATCGAGCGCCTGGAGGAGATGCACCGGCGGTACGAGAACCGGAAGGACGCTCAGGGCGTGAGGAAGCAGCTGGCCGACGATATTAAGTACGCGTCGCTCGAGGCGATGCTGCCCGAGGACATCGAGAAACACTGCCAGCTGAACAAGAGCAGGCTGACGACGTACGCGGAGCTCAGGGCAGAAGTCACATCATACGCAGAGCTTCGGCGAGGTGCAAAACAGAAGCCGTCGAAACCATCGAAACCCAGTGACCCTGATGCGATGGACGTCGACTCGCTGACCTTCAGCGGTGCCCTCGCGGCGCTCTGGCAGCAGGGCGGTGCCGGACGAGGTCGAGGTGGCAAGCATGGTGGCAAGGGCGCCGGCAGCGGTTGGCCGAGTCCTCCGAGCGGTTCGCGAGGAGGAAAAGGAGACGGCAAAGGAGGTAGAGGTGACGGCAAAGGTAAAGGTGAAAAGGGCAAGAAAGGCGACGGCCCGAAGAACCCGCCGCAGGTCGGCACACGTGGCGCCAGGATCGTCGGCAACTGCTGGCGCTGCGGCAAGCCAGGACATAAGGAGGAAGACTGTTGGTCGAACCCGGCTCGAGGAGGAGGCGCTGGCGCGGGACGCGGCGCTGGCGGAGGTGGAAAGGCAGGCGCGCGAGGAGGACAGCCCAAGGGCGGAAAACCAGGTGGAGGTAAGCCAACTAGGAGCCTCGACACAGTCGAGCCCGAGGCCGAGCGCGACATGGGCAGCCTCGACATCTGCGCGCTGTACGACCTACCCTGGCATAATGACTCGATCCTGAAGCAGTTCGGCGCCGTGGAGGTGAATGCGACCAGTGAGGACTCGGACGTCGATGAGGTTTCGTATGCCAATGACGAGATAGGTGTCCACGCCGGGATGGGTGTCAACGAGGATCCAAATGCCAAGGTCGTGGACGTGTGTGCGTTGGACCAGAACGAGAACTGGGTGAAGTTCAACTTCGACACCGGCAGCGCCAAGACCGTGGTCCCGCTCAATTTCAATGCCGGGACGGAGGTTGACAATTCGGGCAAGAGCATGCGTTTCAAGACGGCCAGCGGCGAGATCATCTATGGTGGAGCTGGAGTACGGATTACCGGCACAGACCAATTCGAGCAGAGCGTCACGCTGAACGGCATCAAAGCTCCAGTCCACAAGGCGCTGGTTTCCGCCGGGGAAATTACGGGCAAGGACTCCGACGTGTTCCTCATGGGAGATTTTGGATACATCGTGCATCGTGATTCACCGATCCGTTTGGAGCTGAGGCGCGCTTTCAGAGCCATTGCGGCGAAGCACGGCAACACGGGCGTGATTCAGATGAACAAGGAGGACAATGTGTACAACCTCTACGTGCGGGTCCGCGAGAACGACGTCGAGGGTGCGAAGGACTTGTGTCCGGCTTCAGCGGCGGACGGAGAACCTGCGCCGGGTTTCCGGAGGCAGGGGAAGCGCCCGTAAGACCAGCAGATGGCCCAGGGGCCAGTGGCGAGGCTGCCGCAAATGGCCCCGAAGGAGGCGAGGTGCAGCCAGAAGGCGACGATGGCATGGAACAGGAGCGGCCTCGTATCCCGAGTCGTGTCATCACGCCCACCGCGAAGGAGATAGAAGAACATGAAGCAGCTGGTCATGCAGTATTCCGCAGTTGGTGCGAGGATTGCACAGGAGGCAAGGGCCAAGCCAATCCTCATCATGAGAGCTCGGAGCCGGCCGGGCTCCCGGAGTTCCACGTCGATTACGGCTACATGGGGACGGTTGATAGCGAGTGCGCGCCGATGATCATAGGCCGCGAAAACAAATTAGGCAACTATGCGGCTAGCACTGTCCCGCAGAAGGGAGTCAACAACTACGCGGCGGCCTACTTGGTTGGGTGGCTGAAGGGGCTCGGTTTCAAGCGAATGGTGTTCAGGAGCGACAACGAGTCGAGCTTGCTCAAGCTTCTTGATCTCGTGTCCCAGAATCTCCCCGGCATCGAGATCGTAATGAAGACCAGTCCGGAAGGCGACCCCCAGGCCAACGGCACGGCTGAATCGGCGGTCAGGGAGATCAAGAATCAAGTGCGGACGTTGCGCCTGGAGCTGAAGCGCAAGTACGGCAGGCAGATTCCGGAGACATCAGCATTGCTGTCGTGGCTTGCGAGATACGCGGCAAATGTCATAAACCGCTACAGGTTTGGCAGAGATGGCAGGTCCGCGGAACATCGACGATCAGGTCGACGGTGGCAACGCCCGACTGTCGGGTTCGGCGAGAAGACGTTCTTCCGGCCAATCCAGACGAAGGCTCTGACGAAGGAGGGCCGAGCGCAGCCGAGGATGCTCGAGGGGATCTTCGTGGGCCACCACGAGCGGAACGGCGCTATGATGTTCATCACCCCGGAGGGCATGACGAAGGGCGTCGGTATGCACAGGAAGCCAGAGGGCGAGAGGTACGACTTCGACTTCATGTTGTCATGCAGGGGATTTCCGTGGGATTCGAAGCCTCGGGAGCGAGCGGCGCAGCAACCGATGGCAGGTCCGAGCGACGTGCCGGAGGCGATGGTGATGCCCGAACCGGCAGCACCGCAACCAGCCGGTGAGGCAGCTGCAGGTGGAGGTGAGGTTGCCGACGCTGCTCGGCCTCCAGTTGCAGGGCTTCGTAAGGCTTTCTACGTGATGAAGAGTGACGTGGAGCGCTTCGGCATGTCGCCGGGGTGCTCAGCATGTTCGAATGCATTTTTGGGTGTACCAGTACAGTCAGGACATACCGCAGAATGCCGTGAGCGCATGCTCGGGAAGCTGCGCGAGTCCGGAGCGATGCAGGACGCTGTGAGGCTCGAGGCGTTCGCGGCGCGTAAGGAGGGGCTGAAGCGCACGGCGGCCGGGGACTTCGTGCCGGCAGCTCGACGCGCGGCTGCGGCTCCGAGAGGTGCGGCGAGGCCGCAGCAGGCAGCGGGTGAGCCATCAGAGGCGGCTGCACCAGAGGTGGCCATGCCGGCGGCTGCCGAAGTTGATCAACCTGGTCGGCTTGAGGAGGCGCCAGCACGAGCGCGAGACGTTCGAGTGCAAGATACGCGAGTCAGAGCATCGACCCGAAGATCTGACGGCGCAGAGAGCCCGCGGCCGAAAGCGAAACAGAGGCCGACAGAACGAGGGCAAAAGCGAGCTGGCGACGAGCCAGACGACATGGCAAGGGCGGCGGACCCAGCTCCGGCCCATGCGGACGCCGACGTCAAGCTGGACGTGAGGGCGCCGCCGACCCCCAGAGCGAGTGGCGCGGCATCATCATCGGGAGCTGCACCGTCGACGCCGGGGGCAGCAGTCAGGTCGGCAGGAGCCGACGCTGGAGCACCGAGTGCGGGCGCAGATATGGCGTCCTTGAGCTTCGAGAAGAGAGGCATGATACGAGGAGTCGTTGATCAACTACGGGCGTCTATGAGATATCACGAGCTGGACGTCGAGGAAGGCGAGTTGAAGCAGATGGCGATCAGTCTCTGCTCGCTATCGGCGGTTGATGTGGCGGAGTTCTACACCCCGCGGAGGTTTACGCCCCGGACGGCGAACCATGGCATGAGGCCTGGATTCTGCGTGGACCTTACGACCACGAAGAAGGACGGCCAGTACTGGGACCTCAGGAGACCGGAGGATCAGGCGGAGTTCGAGGAGCTCCAGGCCGAGCAGACACCCAAATTGCTCATCGGCTCCCCGCCGTGCACAGATTTCTGCCAGCTGCTGAAGATGACGTTCAGCCCGGCTGAGATTGCACAGCGACGAGCGGAAGGAGGTGAAGTACATATGCGAGTAGCCGTGGCCGGCTATTGGAGACAGCTCAACTCCGGGAGGCATTTCCTGCACGAGCATCCGGCGAAGTCGGACAGCTGGAAGATGACGGAGGTTGAGGAGCTCGCCAGGGACCCCAGGGTCTTCAAGGTACAGGGGCCGATGTGCAACTGGAACCTCAAAGGGGCCGACGACGAGGGCAGGACCGGGTACGTCCGCAAAGAGACGATCTGGCTCACGAGTTCGGAGGAGCTCGCGAAGACGCTGCAGGGCGTCTGCCAGAACATGAAGGGCCGCACCATGCACAGGCACGTTCACCTGATCGGCGGTAAGGCCAGGACGTCGGCGGCTGCGGCGTACACTCCAGAGCTAGTCAATGGCGTGCTCAAGGCATTCCGTCGGCAACTACACCGAGATGGAGATGAGATGGTGCTCCACGCTTTCGACGCTGGCGCGATCCCAGACTCTACCGATTGGTGGGACGAGCCGGAGAACCAGGAGTGGGCGTGGAGAGCATGGGACGATATCAACAACGAGGAGCTGGACCCAGTCAAGGTTATGGAAGCACGGCAGGAGGAGATCGACTACATCAGAGGCATGCAGGTATTCAAGGCAGTTCCCAAGTCAGAGTGCCCTGGGAAGCCTATTACTATGAAGTGGATTGACACCCGGAAGCAGTCAGGTCGATACCGCAGCCGTCTCGTGTGCAGGGAGATCAAGAAGGCGAAGCGGTCAGAGGACAAGCTCGACCCAGCGGACGTCTTCTCGGCGATGCCGCCTGTCGAGAGCCTGAAGATGTTGATTAGTGAGTGGATGACAACCGACGATGGGCATAACCACGAGGACTTCATCATGGCTTCTTTCGACATCAGCCGCGCTCACTTCGCGGCGACGCAGGACAAGCGCGACGTCTACGCGACGCTTCCAGATGGCTTCGAACAGGAAGGCCATGTCGCGAAGCTGCTGAAGGCGATGTACGGCACGGAGGACGCAGCTAACCTGTGGGGCGAGACTTGGGCCAGGCAGCTGGAGGAGAATGGCATTAAGATTGGCATCGCGTCGAGGGCGCTGTTCTGTGGTGAGAGACACAAAGGACTATGCCATGGAGACGACTTCCTAGTGCTATGTCGACGCGAACACTTGTCGGAGTTCCAGAAGATTTTGGAGGATAGGTTCGAAGCGAAGAACACCGGAGTCATCGGTTTCAGCGAGAAGGATGAGAAGACTCTCGAGATATTGAACCGAGAAATCCGGATCGTTGGCAACGACGTCGTCGAACTAGAGGCTGATCCACGGCACGCAGAGAAGGTGATCGAGGAGCTAGGTTTGCAGAACGCCAATGCTGTGGCTACTCCGCGCGTGAAGTACAGCGACGCCGAGCACGCAGCTCGGGAGTCCAGTCCGTTCCTCGTCGGGGCGGATATCACGAAGTACAGGTCGTGCACGATGAGGCTGAAGTACATCGAGCAGGACAGGCTGGACCTATCGGAAGCAGTCAAGTGTCTTGCCCAGAATATGGCTAAACCTCGTGAAGGCCACATGGTCGATCTGAAACGGCTTGGGCGGTATCTCAAGGGCCACCAGCGTGCGATTTTGACATACCGGTTGCAATCGTCCGACTGCGGTTTGAAGGTTTATACAGATAGCGATTGGGCCGGCGAGCTAGCGACTCGACGGTCGACGTCGGGCATGGTGCTCATGAGGGGGTCTCACCTACTACGTGCGACTTCAACTTTGCAGAGTGTCACAGCACTGTCGAGTGCCGAAGCGGAGTTCTATGCTATGACCCGTGGAGCGGCGTACGCTCTAGGAACGCAGTCGTTTTTTTCCGAGATGTTGGCCGAGAGCTCAGCATCCGGCTTTATACTGATAGTTCGAGTGCGAAGAGTTTCACACTGCGAAGAGGTGTGGGCAAGATGCGCCATATCCAAACGCGATATCTTTGGCTCCAGGAAAGGACGAGTTTGAAGCACTTGAATTTGGCCAAGATAGACGGCACCGATAATCCGGCAGATGTGATGACCAAAAGTTTGGTCAGCCCTCTTTTGAACAAGTACTGCAAATTCGGTGGCCAGCGATTCGCAATGCCGAAACGGTAGAGAATTGCAGCTCGTGTGCGTGAGCGGGGGATGTACTCATAGGTACCAGGCTGGACTGTTTGAGGTCCGTGGCCACGCTCCGCTAACCTTGATGCGCTTGTGGGCGAAATCCACGACGCGGTCTGCGAGACCGGCGGCGTGACTCCTGGAGGCCATCGTAGATCCTTGAAAGGTTATTAATCCCACTAAGTGGGATAGCGGCCTTTAGCAATGATGTGATAATGTGCGTCTAATGTCATGCATTGCAGCAACATGTTCTTAACGCAGTAGAACATGTTGGAGTCAGGGGCAGCAGTAGTGATGAGCTGCATGGAGTGCAGGAGTGATCAATCCCACAAAGTGGGATAGCGGATGGTTGCACTGTGCGTAACCATTGTGGCTCAAGTCATAATGGGCTCAGGCTTTAGAAAAGGACTTTCGCTTCTCACAATCACGCCAGACGGATCCCCCCAAATAGGGTCGGCGGCAGAGGCGGCAGCCTTTAGATAAGGAGAAGGGGGGGCAGATGAAAGAAGGACAGATAGGATTACCCGTAGGTCGGAAGCAGTTGGTAGAAACATGAAGTAGGAGAGCGTTGAAGAAGATTTGTTTCCGCCAACCACCTGAAGAGGAGGGAAGAGGGAATACCGCTCGACCCTTAAAGTAGGAATGCACGTAAAGTAAAATGGAATCTGTAATTCAAAACATTCCTATGTTCGACGACCGACGAGTAGTGTTGTGCCCGAGACGCTTCGAACCCAGGTAGCCGAGCAAGTAGCTTGCGACGAGACGAACCAATGAACTCCTCTCTCTCTCTGCCTCTTCGCTCTGCTCCTCTTCCAATCCGCTGCTCCTGGGACGATTTACGTATGGACACACGCCCATGCGCGCTTGCGGGGGACAGGGAATGAGAAATACGTGGCTCGGGATACTCGAAAAGCTATCCGTATCCCGTCCCGAGGGCCTGTGGATCAGGAGGGAGGTATTAGTCGAACATACATCATCATTGACGGGCCTTTGGGGACCCTGGTGGGGACGAGGTGGATAACACTTGGGTCCAATGCGCAAGATGCTTCTGGGTCTACCGCGAGCCACTTCTCCCTCCAAACCAATTTCACAACTGAATGTTGCGCGGTTGGCCCTGGATTCCTGGCGCGCCACACGCGCCGTGCCACTGGCTGCCCTTGAGAAGGTTGAGAGTGTCGGGGGTGGACATAACCCACTTAAGCAAAACGACCTTTATTGAACGCTGCCCGCGCACTCCACGTGCGCACGGCACCGCATTCCGAGTGCAACCCAGCTGGGTAGCTAATCGACGTCCAAGAACAAACCAATGTATGCAGCGATCCGCACGATGAAACCAGCTGAGGAGCTGAGGACTGCACCAGCGCACTCGAACACACTGTCGAGTAAGCTGGCGCATCTCTCCTCAGTCGACTTGTCTGGGTGGGCGGTCGCGCAATGCCCGATAGTGTGGAACTCGCGAGAGCAAGTGCTAGCGACCCAGACTTCTGACACTCCAATATTTGCGATGCGTGGGTCCCTGGAGGTCTGGACAACTTCCCTAGGACTACTAGGACTAGTTTTTCGTCCAGAGTGGCTCTTCGATGATCCTGGGGCCCCGTTGAGGGCCTCTGGGGGCCGAGAATGGCTAAAAACTGGCCGAACCGACTTTTGTCGGAGCCTCGGATCTCTGGCGAACGTGGGGCTCGACAAAATCGTCGGGTCGGGTGCTGCGCTGGGCCTGCTGGCGGCTCTGCGTTCGGCCCGACCGCAATGACGTACGAGGAGGAGGCGTCCGCAGCCGTTCTGGCCCCCAGAGCGAGCGCCGCGCACGGACCGCACCGCGCGCGCTGGGCAGCGCACCGTATCGCGGCCAGCCCCCTGGTCGGCAACCGCCCCGACCCCCCCCTCGCGCGGGCCAAGGGGAGGGAGGACCGGCGGCTCAGAGATGGGGCCTGAGGGGTGGGGCCCGAAGCGCCAACCTGGGGGCCCGATTGGACAGGGCGCTCCGCGGCCCAGGCCTGATCGAGCAACCCCGCTACCTGCCGCGCCAGCCTCTCGGAACGGAAGGTCAAGCCGGCCTGCCGATCGCCCTGCTCCGATTGCCCGAACGGACTGGCCCAGGCCCAAAGATCAGATGTCGTGTTTTTTCATTGCGGGGTTCCTGGAAGTCTCGACCCATTTCCCGCGTCCAGCTTTTCATCCAGAGTCGTTTTTTCTAGGTTCCTGGGGCCTGGCTAAGGCCCCTAGAGGCCGAAAGCTGTAAAAAACCGCCGTCTTGATTTGTGCCCATAAGGATGGATATCGGGGGGCACCGCGAACGGAAGGTTAGGCCTTCCTCCCGATCGCCACGCATGCTCCGAGTGCCCGGGCCGCCGAAGCAGGGCTGGCCCGGGCGCAGCGGGCACAGCCGCGCCGCGTGGGCACCTCTACCCACACCACACACCGGGGGCGTCCGAGAGCGAGGCTCACAAAGCATGACCGCCGGCTCTCGCTCATCGCTCGCTCGTTCGCTCGTTCGGGCCGTTTGTTCGTTCGCTCGCGCTCTCGGGTGCGCCGCCACCGCGGCCGCGGCGGTCGGGTGCTTCGGCGGGCGCAAGAGCGTTCGTGGCACGCGGAGCGCGGAAACGTAGCAGGAGGGCCAGGGGAGGGCGGAGGAGGGAAAAACGCGACGAGACTTGAGCAGAGACCGACCGTCCCGGCATTCCTATGGCCTACCACGATATGCTCTTAGAAAAAAAACTCTGAGAGCGAACGATATCCTGACAAGAAAAATCGGCATAACAAAGCAATGCCGTCTCGGCCATATATGTTTCTGTACCTAGGCTCTGCCCAGAGGGTGCTTACTCTATAAGCTTAAAAGGGCTGGGCAGTGTTCCTCGCCCTGGGCGGTTCCCCCGGTCCCCGCCCCGCGGTTCTCCCAGTTGCGCCCCCTTACCATAGTTTTGCGTAGATCATCTTAGCTTAGCTTCGTTTCATCTTAGCTTCGCGCAGCTGTAACTTAGCACAGCTTAGCTCAACTTAGAATTTCAAAGCATAGCCCAGCAAAGCATAGCACAGCGCAGCATAACATAGCATAGCATAGCATAGCATAGCGCATCATAACACAGCATATCATAGCATCGCATAGCATACCATCGCCTCGAAAATCATAGCGCAAACCTAGCGTAGCATAGCATAGCGCAGCATAGCATAGCAGAGCATAGCTTGGCATAGCGCAGCATAACATAGCACATCATATCATGGCAGCAAAGCAAAGGCAAACCAACATCAGCAACAGCAAAGCAAAGCAGAAGCAACGCAAAGCAAAGCAAAGCAACGCAAAAGCAAAACCAAAGGAAAGGCAAAACAGAAACAATGTGCGACAGTTGCCGAGCTAGCCTCGATGGCCGGACCGGAGCCCCCGCAAGCAGTGCCTTCTGTAGCCATTTCGGCTCAAGCCCGGAGGCCCTGCCACACAGCCGCTCACGCCCATGTCCCGAGGTTGGCGGAGCGAGGCTTTCAGCGGTGCTGCGCAGCCCGCCTCGGCACCAGGTGGCGCTGCGCAGCCCGCCCCGCCTGTCGTGGCCATCGACGTGGGCGACGTCGCGTCCAAGCGGAACGACGACCAGCGGGTTGAAGGCAGCGAGATGCACGCGGCTGTCGAGGAGGGCTTCTGGGCGTTCGCTGTGCTCTTTGCGGCTGAGTTCGGCCTTCAGGACGTGCATTTCATCAGTCGCGCGACGCGGGGCACGTGGCACTCGCGCCGTAGCCGCCTGGGGAGGGTAGAGACGTGGGTCGCCAAGCTGATCCGGGGCACAGGCTTGCTCGAGATGGGGATGCCTGAGGCGAACATCCATTTGACGTCTGAGAAGAGCGGGCGGGATGGTAAGGGCGTTGCTTCTCGGGGCTCGCAGCTGACCCACATGATCGACAACGATCTCGAGTGCTTCTGGAGTGCCTTGAACGACCGGGCTGGCAACTCGGGCCTGTCGATCAGGCGGAGCAAGGGCCGCGTCATCCAGTACATGCGCCCCCGCCCTGTGCATGGCAGGTGGTGGCGTGATGAAGGCGACGACTGGCTGGAGAGGTGCAACTCGTTGTTCGAGGTTGCCGAATATTTCCAGCTGGGGCCCCTGGACATCTGGGATGAGTTGGCGCAGCTCGGGCCGCCGGCGATGCCCCGCCCCGCGTCGCGCCGAGGCAGGCCTCTGACAGCGGCGGAGGTGATCGATCTGTGCAAAAAGCGGTGGTCGCCGCGAGCCTAGCCGCAGGCGCGGCCGCGCGCGCCGTCGTCGCGGCGACGACGACGATCTTCATGCCGATGATCCTCGCCGAGTTGAGGCCAAGCGCCGCGGGCGCGGTGGCGCTGCGCAGCCCGCGTTCGCAGCAGGGCCACGCAGCGCCAGCGGGGATGTCTCGGTGGTGCTGCACAGCCCGCCTTCCCGCACAGGGACGCGTCCGTCGCGTGAACAGGATGCGAAGCGTATCCTAGTTGTCTACCGAGGCGAAGTTCTACGCTCTGCGTCATCCAAAGAGGTTGGGCCTGACAGAGACATCACATTGGAAGATTTCGAGGGCGTCTTTAACTCTGGCGAAACCATGATAGTGGACACCCTGACTGAGCCTCGCATCGATATCTCCTTAATGGCAGATCTCTCCGATGGCAGGATCGCCCAGAAAACCCTGGCAGATATGGCGAATGCTGCTCTGGCCGCCCCGGTCGCCTTCCACTTCTCGGCCAAGGGTAGTTGTCAGACTCAGACGTTCAAATCGGCTATGAGCGTTCTCCAGAAGGCCCCTGACTTGGATCGCTGTTCTCACGTGCTCTTCACACTGTGTGATGCAGAACTCCTGTCCAGCGTCGACGCAGAGTGGATGAGGCCAAACCTTGTGGCTCCGTTCTATCAGACCCGGCGCAAGGAGATGGATGACGCCATCTTCGCGTTGCCTGCTTCTCGGTTTGAAGAATTGCACGCAGCAGTAAGCATCCTATCGCGTTCAAGGGACAAGTTCGACTACAACTCCCTGCGTCGCCTCAACCTGCCAGGCACGGAATTCCTGACCAATAAGAGGATCGACGCCAACACGACCAAGGAGTGGAATCCCCATTGCACTTTAAAGGGGCGCAACTCGAAGAAGCCCCCGCCAGGCGGTGCTGCGCGGCCCACCTTTTCTGCGCTGCCTGCCAACGCGACCGAGTTGACGCGCCGCGGAGCTCGCCGCGCAGCGCCGCGCAGCCCGCCGCGCAGCGCTGCACAGCTTGCCGCCTCCTCCAACGTGGTACTCAGGCCCGCTACGCCCCGCATCAACGCTATCTTCGGCAACGACGCCTCCGCCGAAGCAGCGTTGCAGGAGGTGCTCGAGAAGATCCGCAAAGAGTTCCTGTTCGGCAAAGCGGCCGCGGTTCGGTCGGACGTTTCTCGGATGGCTCGAGGTTCCGTGGTGGAGGCGGAGGTTCCTCGGCAGAAGCTGGGGGACTTCTTACGAATCGCCGAGCAGCAGCGTGCGAATCAACTGCGCCGCGCGCCAGGCCTGGCTTCCGACGCGATCTTCACGAGTTCCCACATGCAAAAGATCCACAAAGAGTGGATAAACGACGATGGGTTGTGGATGAACACGGAAACGGTCCAGGAGCACGAGCGATTGCGCAACGGGAGGTGCCTAGGCGGCACGAAGAAAGCGCGCCAGCTCCGACGATGCGCTTTCTCCGCGGACGCGTTCCAGATCATCGGCAACAAACGCGCGCTGCTCTCCGCCACCCGGCGCCCAATCTGCAGTGCCGCGCAGCCTGCAGACGCAATGCGGCGGTTCCTGGG